CTATGGAAAAAAGTACTACAACACTACAATTCAATATTGACACATTTGTTTCCATCCTGGATCTTAATTTTAATTTGTTTAGAACAACAATCATTTGAACCACACATTTCTCTGAATTCTGCATGTGGTGTTGCAGTCACTGGTTCAGGCGGTGGCTGTTCATATCTTTCAACCTTAGGCTTGTGTACAGAATCGTCAATTACGATGGCTGAAGTACTTGCTTTCGCTAGTGGAGGTTGGAGACCATCATATACGATTTTCTGAACAGAGTTACTCGTTTATATGTTCTCAACCCATCATCCGATCTGTGACCAGTGCGTTTTTTGATTAGTTGCTCATCAAAGTCTTTTTCATACAACAGTTGCCGCAGTAATATCAGGGGGAAATCTTCTCTCTGGGGTTCTCCACACGTGTCAGGGGGGAATCTCGTCGTCTCTCTATCGCGTCCCCTTGAGGTACGGGATCGGAAAGTCACTTAAACTTTACAGTCAAATAAGACACAACGAAATACGTTTCAACTCTCGTCTTAGTCGGTCAGTTGATCACCCTATAAGACACAGCGCCCTGGGGAAAAGTCCCCAAGACTATCGTAAGGCTGACCCAAGAATCTCTAAATTGCGTCAAGACTCGCCCCAAGACTCTAAGACTGCCTCCGTCCTCGTGTACTCGCCAATACCAACTAAAAACACTTTATTCACTTTCAAAACCTTAACCAATTACAAAGAAGTATTGAGACTCTAAGGCGTGACCTTCAATCATACAGCCAATCACACTAAGTACTGAACACGTCATATCTTTTGATTAATCGTTCACTACATTAATAACTGCGAATACTAACTGTCAGAAATAGTCCAAATAGCGACGGTTATCTCGTAATTAGTTCCAAATCACTGAACCAATTTCCATCCAGAACCTCGCATGGCCTAAACGATGACAGACATAACACAGCCATTCACTCGTAATCAACTAATTAAGTCGATCAACAGATACGTGCAACAATTTCATCATAGTAACCTAAAAGTATGAAAAAATTATTTGAGAAGTAAATATACCGACATTTATTTGCATCGCGTTTGAAAAACGTTTTCACAATGTACAATATTTGTTTTCAATCGGCGAAATTCAAACACATTTGAACCCATTCCAAGATCCCACCCACCCCAGAATCACTTGAGACAAACTTACCTTACCCGAATGTCCAGTATGACACCCATCTATTCCAGCCAGATCACGCATTCTTTTGGGATATTGTCGTAAAGTATTTACTCCAATCTTCTGTTTAGAAAATTTGAGCCCTCTGCTGGACGTCAGTGGACGTCGGTAGAAGGGATCTTTCGGTGGAATACATTGCAAATAACGTTTCAATAACTGAACACCACAACGCGTGTTGGAAGGATCGCCGTATTGGCGCACATTTTTATACGTGATTTTCCGCGAGTAATACAGTCTTCCTTGATTATTTTTACACGGTCTAGCATTAAATTCTATATAGTCGGCTTGATTGTCTGATCCTTGTACAAACTGTTCGGCTGTAAGGTTACTATGTTCGTCGACTGCTCGGAGAGCGAACACTTTACACACATAAAAGTAAACTGCATAACTCAAATTTGTAGCAGACTATGGAAAAAACAATATGTTTTCATCATCATCTGTGTATGGTTCAGCTTGACGTTTAATAACACCTATTTACCGTCTGTCTATACTCTTCATTACACCGTCCAGGGTGTGATGGAATTCCATAAATTCCATAAATATGTATCCATAAAGCACAAGTCAACTCTTTTGCATTCATCACGTAAATATCTCTGAATTGTGCTACAAAGCACACGCAGGCTATTAGATGGATATTTTGTTCCGTCTTGTCGACGAGCCTCGACAACAAAGCGACACAACCAAAATGAAAGTTCACGTACACCAAGTTCTCTGCATAATCTGGGAACAAATGTGAACACGTCACTACTGCTTACCCCGTGCTTCTCGACTCCTTCATTTCTGCCTCGACCCCATTCATCCCACACAGACACTCCCCAGTTAGTACATCTACGCGTGTTTTTTGGCACTCGCGAATTCTGAATGGCAGCTATCTGTTCATTGTCTACAGGTAAACCGAAACGTTGACGTTCTTGTTGTTTTGTTAACTTAAAATCTTGTTTTTCGTCGTAATGAGAGCAAAATTTCTCAATGTCATCGTTGTACTCCGAATCAGAGATGTCACTGTATTCGACCATCACTGAGCGCTGCCTACATTCTAGTGCCATATCTTTGATTTGTAGTGACTGATTATGTTCAAATTTTGAAAATTCATTATACATCATGTCATAGATATACAGATATATTGGCTTGACGATCCTGTTAAAAATAGCCGAATGGTGGCCATTTTTGCGCTAAAAATTCATCAAAATCAAGCATTTATCGGCTGTTTACAGATTGATTTTGTTCAAAATTGGTATATATGTTGGAAATTATAGGACCTTCATGCACATCATTTTGTTTTTCAGATACGATTCAAAATGGCCGACTGGCAGCCATTTTGTTTTAATGAATGTGGTTCTAGTGCCATATCTCTGACTTGCTCTCAAAATCGTCGCCACACCCCACCCCGACACTTTCAAACAATAGAATTGTCAGACTCAAAGATGATCTTTTCTTGGTATCAACATTGACTGATTCACTAGTATACCTTTAATTTAAAGAAAAGAAAATATCTACATGCCAGTAAACTTTCAGTTAATGAGAGAACAAGACACGAGTAGAAGAATTGTTACGAAGTAATATGTAATAGTAACACTGAAATAAACGCTAATGTATCTATAAACAAGAATAATATATTCAGAAATGAATGACAATTACATTTGTATTCTACATTTGAATCGGACACAAAAATATAGCAAGGATTTAACATTTAAAGCTGGAGGGTAGTCACCTGCGCACGCGCGGGAATTGAGTTTCAAACGATGATAACAACACACGCTAAAAATGCAAAGGCTCATGGTTAGACGTTTATTTGTGAACAATGACACGCTATGGCCATCTGGCGCATGCGCAGGTGACGACTCCCGCGCTTTAACAATGGCTCTTGGAGTGGCCTAACTCAATGACGGGTTGTTATACAAAAGATAAGTGATGATTTGTGACTCGTTTTTCCTATACTCGATAGGGTATAGCGAATTGATTGGCTAACCTTAGTGAAGTGAAGAGGAATACCTCATTGAGAGCAAATATCGACACTGAGGAACATACTGGCGATGCATTCACGACTAGAGCTTACATACTCCTATGTTAACCATATACACCAGTGCATGTTATATCTCTGTTATTTGCCATTGTTCATATGAGCTATTCAATGTATGTGACCTCCCAAACCGTATGTAAAAATCAATATTAAGCATCACTGGACTGAATATTCGACGCGTGATCTCCTCTTCTAGACACCGTAGAACAAGTCCATCATTGTCTGCGTGGAATTTGTTAGCAAACAAATGAGGCTGCTTATAAAGCCAGGGTAAGTCTTTCCAGGAAAATACACATACAGAGCGGATATACTTCCCTTGGCATGGTTTCTTTGATGCTGACCATACTTTTGCCCTTGAAATTACATCGGAGTGTGTGTGTGGATAGAGTCCCCCGGGTGCGTCTTTTAACAATGCAAGACTATTGTAATACATTTCATCCGGAATGAGTGACTGTGATAGCCATGCAAACCACTGTTTTGAGATATCGCTTTCCAAGAGAAATTCAACAAACACACGACTGAGTGCACAGTGAAGTTCACCTTTAGTGGCAGTGACGTTTCTTGGCGGGCGATCCAACCTCCTTGATATTTTTTGCATCTGATCATTTTTCATTTGCCATATCGAGTCCAACCTGTTTTTGTTAACTATTGCACCAGTCATCACATCGACACTACCATTCAACTCTTTCAATATTTGAACGATTTCAAGATTGGTTTTCAATGGAAATTCCTGTCCTGTAAGGTTGATGTAATACTTCCAGGTTTTATCTTTCTTTAACGAGTCCTCTTGACACCTTTTTTCTGCTTCAAGAATAGATATATCTCCCCAGACAACGTGGTTTAATTTAGAAGCAATAAAAACATTATCAAAACACCTTACTATAGCCTTCATAGCCACATGTATTTCATATGTAGCCTTCGTATCAATATGGATACAGTAAGTGTTATGTGGTCTGTATATTGTTCGCAATAATTGTTCCACCTGGTATACTGATTTATACATTAGAATGCCGAATGCCAATGGGAAGTCTTTTTCTTCCCGCGTAACCGGTTTATTAAAATACCCATGTGCGTGCGTAAATGTGTGGCAATCTTGAGTCAGTTGTAGAAATGTGTTGTCCGGAAACCAAACTTCAGTTTCGATGTACCTCACCTTGTCTGCAAACTGAGAAATATTATCACTATCGATCAACTTCCTGCAATCCAGATTCCGCACAAGTGTCGGGTAATATGTTAAATTGAACATTACATCTGCACCTTTTGTTGTCAATGTTGTTGTTGGTGTCAACCCCGAAATCTTATTTCGTGTACATTCGGTAAACACACTGCGTCGCCATAACAACATAAAACACAGTTGAGCAAGCGTATAGCATACTAGAATCAGGAACACAATATTACGATGTCTTGATTGTACCATATTGTCAGTAGCAGCAGGGCTTATAGTATGGATAGCGAAACCTGCGAATTTGAAATGTTGCCATTATTAATATATGATTGTATGACAATCCACCATCGTCTTACGTGAACATAACATACATGTGAATCTGTTCTGTAACATTTTTCATTACAAAATATCATTTCATGTCAAAGTGTTATAATTAGAAATATCTGTACATGTTGAAAACACTTACCACACACTAATTATCATAATATTGTGGCATACCAGTTTCTAATGTTTATTATTTATGCCAGCATTTCAACTGCCTGAATATGACGTTCTGACGGCTTATAGAAGCCGCGGTTAAATAGGCGATATACTACAGGCCCTAAACGTGAATAAAACATAGTAGGATACTTTTAAACATTGTTATGCATTACTGTAAGAGCATTATTGTTGCATTACTCTCAGTGAACTTGTAAAGATTAGAGTGCCTTACTGTCAGTGCATTATTGTTGAATTACTTCCAGAGTACTTT